ACACCCAAATGTGCCCGAAATTACCCCAAAATTACCCTGAAATTACCCTGAAATTATCCCAAAAACCACACCCAAATGACCCCAAAATTACCCCAAAATTACCCTGAAATTACACCCAAAAATTACCCCGAAATTACCCCAAAAACCACCCCAAAATCACCCTGAAATTACCCCGAAATTACCCCAAAATTACCCCGGAATTACCCTGAAATTACCCCAAAATTACCCTGAAATTATCCCAAAATTACCCAAAAATTACCCTGAAATTATCCCAAAAACCACACCTAAATGACCCCGAAATTACCCCAAAATTACCCCAAAAACCACCCCAAAATTACCCCAAAGTCACCCTGAAATTACCCCAAAATTACCCAAAAATTACCCTGAAATTATCCCAAAAACCACACCCAAATGACCCCAAAATTACCCTGAAATTACCCCAAAATTACCCTGAAATTACCCCAAAAATTCCCCCCAAATCTACCCCTGAAATTACCCAAAATCTCCCCCAAAAATCACCTCAAAAATTTCCCTAAAATCCCCCCAAAAATCCCCCCGAAATTACCCCCAAAATCCCCCAAAAATCATCTCGGAAATTACCCCAAAATGCCCCCCAAAACCACCCCAAAAATCACCCCAAAATTCACCCCCAAAATCCCCCCAAAACCACCCCGAAATTACCCTGAAATTACCCCAAAAACCACCCTAAAATCACCCCAAAATCCCCCCAAAAACCACACCAAAATTACCCTGAAATTACCCAAAATCCCCCCCAAAATCACCCCGAAATTCACCCCAAAAATCACCCCAAACAATTGCTCCTAAATTCACCCCAAAATCCCCCCAAAACCAGCCTCAAATTCACTTTAAAATTCGCTCAGTGGAACCCCAAAATTAATGGAAAATTGTCCCAAAACCCCTCCCAAAATTACCCAAAAATCCCCCCCCTCAAAAAAAACCCAAAAAACCCCAAAACCCCTCCCAAAATTACCCAAAAAATCCCCCCCCAAAAAACCCCAAAATCCCCAAAACCCCTCCCAAAATTACCCAAAAATCCCCCCCAAAAAAAAACCAAAAATCCCTCCCAAAATTACCCAAAAATCCCCCCCAAAAATCCCCCCCCAAAAAACCCCAAAATCCCCCAAAATCCGCAAAACCCCTCCCAAAATTACCCAAAAATCCCCCCCAAAAAAAACCCCAAAAAACCCCGAAACCCCCAAAATCCCTCCCAAAATTACCCAAAAATCCCCCTCAAAATCTCCCCCAAAAAATCCCCAAAATCCCTCCCAAAATTACCCAAAAATCCCCCCCAAAAACCCCAAAATCCCCAAAATCCCTCCCAAAATTACCCAAAAATTTCCCCCCAGAAATCCCCCCCAAAAAATCCCCAAAATCCCTCCCAAAATTACCCAAAAAAAACCCCAAAAAACCCCAAAATCCCCAAAATCCCTCCCAAAATTACCCAAAAAAAAACCCCAAAAAACCCCAAAATCCCTCCCAAACCCCAAAATCCCCAACTTTTTACCCCAAAATCCCCTTTGGGGGGGGTCAGGGCTCACCTGGGATTTTTGGGGGGGGCTCCTCGCGTTCCCCGTACCCCGACCCTGGGGGGGTGGTGGGAGGGGGTCACGGGGGCATTTTGGGGGGGTCCCTCCCCAATTTTGGGGTTTTCCTCCCATTTTTAGGGTCCCCCCCCCAATTTTTGGGTTTTTTCCCCCCATTTTTAGGGTCCCTCCCCCAATTTTCGGGTTTTTTCCCCCCATTTTTAGGGTCCCCGCCCCAAATTTTGGGGTTTTCCCCCCCATTTTTAGGGTCCCTCCCCAATTTTTGGGATTTCCCATCCAAATTTTGGGATTTTCCCCCCCATTTTTGGGATTTCCCACCCAAATTTTGGGATTTCCCCCCATTTTTGGGATTCCCCACCCAATTTTTGGGTTTCCCCCCCGCCATTTTTGGGATTTCCCACCCAAAGTTTGGGATTTCCCCCCCCATTTTTGGGATTTCCCCACCCAAATTTTGGGTTTCCCCCCCCCATTTTTTGGGATTTCCCACCCAAATTTTGGGGATTTCCTGTCGGTTTTGGGGTCTCACCCAGCTCCGGGGGGGATCACCAGCTTCCTCTTCTCCCCCCTCGCACATCCTGGGGGCAAGGGGGGGGGTCAGGGGGGCCAAAATCCCTGGAATTCACCCCAAAATCCCAGAGTCCCAAAATCCCCGGAATTCACCCCCCCAAATCCCCGGAATTCACCCCAAAATCCCAGAGTCCCAAAATCCCCGGACTTCACCCCCAAAATCCCCGGAATTTTCACCCAAAATCCCCGGAATTCACCCCGAAATTCCCGGAGTCCCCAAAATCCCCCGGAATTTTCCCCCCAAATCCCCGGAATTCCCCCCCAAAATCCCGGAGTCCCCAAACTCCCTGGAATTCCACCCAAAATCCAAGAGTCAGGGGTCAGTGGTCACTCAGGGTCACTCAGGGTGGTCAGGGATGGTCAGTGAGGGTCAGGGATGGTCAGGGATGGTCAGTGGTCACTCAGGGTGGTCAGTGGTCACTCAGGGTCACTCAGGGTGGTCAGTGGTCACTCACCCCAGCAGGCCCTGGTCCCAGCCCTTGATGACCTGCCCCGGTTTGGGGATGGTCAGTGAGGGTCAGTGATGGTCAGTGGTCACTCAGGGTCACTCAGGGATGGTCAGTGAGGGTCAGTGAGGGTCAGTGGTCACTCAGTGGTCACTCAGGGATGGTCAGTTGGTCAGTTGGTCACTCACCCCAGCAGGCCCTGGTCCCAGCCCTTGATGACCTGCCCGGTTTGATGGGGGTCAGTGATGGTCAGGGATGGTCAGGGATGGTCAGGGATGGTCAGGGATGGTCAGTGAGGGTCAGTGGTCACTCAGTGGTCAGTTGGTCACTCACCCCAGCAGCCCCTGGTCCCAGCCCTTGATGACCTGCCCGGTTTGGGGGGGTCAGTGATGGTCAGTGGTCAGGGATGGTCAGGGATGGTCAGTGGTCACTCAGGGTCACTCAGGGTCACTCAGTGGTCACTCAGGGATGGTCAGTTGGTCAGTTGGTCACTCACCCCAGCAGCCCCTGGTCCCCAGCCCTTGATGACCTGCCCAGTTTGGGGGGGGTCAGGGATGGTCAGGGATGGTCAGGGAATGGTCAGTGGTCACTCAGTGGTCACTCAGGTGGTCAGTGGTCACTCAGGGTCACTCACCCCAGCAGGCCCTGGTCCCAGCCCTTGATGACCTGCCCGGTGCCCAGGGAGAACACGAACGGCTGCTCCGGCTCAGGCTGCTGTCAAAGGGGGTCCCGTCCTCCAGCGTGCCCTGCACCAGTATGGACCAGTATAAACCAGTATGGACCGGTATGGACCGGTATAGACCAGTATAGACTGGTATAGGACTGGTATGGACCGGTATGGACCAGTACGGACCAGTATAGACCAGTATGGACCAGTATAGGCTGGTATGGACCGGTATAGACTGGTATGGACCGGTATAGACCAGTACGGACCAGTATGGACCGGTACGGACCAGTATGGACCGGTATGGACCGGTATGGACCGGTATGGACCAGTATAAACCAGTATGGAGCAGTGTGTGGCCCCGTCCCTCCCAGTGTGTCCCAGTGTGTCCCAGTCTATCCCAGTGTGTCCCAGTCTATCCCAGTCTATCCCAGTCTATCCCAGTGTGTCCCAGGGTGTCCCAGTTCCCCCAGTCTATCCCAGTTTGCCCAGTCCGTACCGTGTAGTGCAGGGTCAGCACGTCTCCCTCTCCGCGATCTCTCCCCACACCGCTCTCAGTGTGTCCTAGTGTGTCCCAGTCTATCCCAGTCTATCCCAGTGTGTCCCAGTCTATCCCAGTCCCTCCCAGGGTGTCCCAGTTCCCCCAGTCTATCCCAGTTTGCCCAGTCCATACCGTGTAATGCAAGGTGAGCACGTCTCCTCTCCGCGATCTCTCCCCGCAGCAGCGCTCCCATTGTATCCCAGTCTATCCCAGTCTATCCCAGTGTGTCCCAGTCCCTCCCAGTTCCCCCAGTTTATCCCAGTCCCTCCCAGGGTGTCCCAGTTCCCCCAGTTTGCCCAGTCCGTACCGTGTAGTGCAGGGTCAGCACGTCTCCTCTCCGCGACCTCTCCCCGCACCCTGCTCCCATTGTATCCCAGTGTGTCCCCAGTGTGTCCCAGTGTGTCCCAGTCTATCCCAGTTTATCCCAGTTTGCCCAGTCCGTACCGTGTAGTGCAAGGTGAGCACGTCTCCTCTCCGCGATCTCTCCCCGCACCCGCTCCGGGCGCCTCCTGACCCCCGATCTGCACCTTCCGGGGCTCGGCCGCCAGGGGGCGCTCGGGGTGGCAGCGCCAGCGCCAGCGCCAGCAGCAGCCACTGCAACCAACGGCGTTAATTGGCATTAATTACAATAAATGTCATTTACTGTCACCCTAACATCACCCCGAGTGTCCCTGACAGCGCCAGCAGCAGCCACTGCAACCAACGCCGTTAATTGGCATTAATTGGCATTTAATGTCACTTATTGTCACCTTATTGACACCCTAACATCACCCCGAGTGTCCCTGACAGCGCCAGCAGCAGCCACCTGCAATAAACGGCATTTATTGGCATTTATTGGCATTTAATGTCACTTATTGTCACCTTAACATCACCCTGAGTGTCACCTGAGTGTCCCTGACAGCGACAGCGCCAGCAGCAGCCACTGACACGAATGTCATTTATTGTCATTTATTGTCATTTGTTGTCATCTAGTGTAATTTAACGTCACTTATTCTCATTTATTGTCACTTATGATCGTTTAATGTCCCCCATTGTCCCCCCCAGCCGCAGGCGCTGGGGGGGCGCTGTGCGCTGGCGCGCCCGTGACGTCACCGGCGCCGCGGCTATGACGTCACGGAGACCCAAACCCGCGGCCCCGCCCATCCCCCCGCCCCCGGGACCACCCCCAAAAGCGGGGGCCCCGCCCACCCCCCACCCCCCCCCGCGGCCTCAGCTCCCCCCGAACGGCCCCGAGACGCCCCCGCGCCCCCCCCCGCCCTCCTGGGCCTCCCCCACCCCACAGGGACCCCCCAGGACCCCCCCCGGCCCCTCCGAGCCCCCCCCCCACCCCCAAATCCGGTCCCGGAACACCCAAATCCGCCCCTCCCCCCCCCCCGCACCTCCGCCGCCATCGCGGTTCCCGTCAGGATCACGTGATCGCCGCCGCGCCTCCGTTTTCCGGTCACGTGACGCGCCGTTTCCTTTCGCGCGATTGGTTCGCGTTGGTCACGTGGTGCCCGCCCCCGGAAGCGGAAGCGGCGGCGATGGCGGCGCGGCGCGCGGTTGCCATGGTAACGGCCGGTCCCCGGGGGGTTAATTAACCCCCTAATCACCGCTAATTAGCGCTCCCCTCCCCCTCAGCAGCGCCTCATTTGCATGGGGAGCCCCCGGCGCGGCCGCTGCTCGGCTGCGGGGTCGGGACGGCGTTAACTGGCGTTAATTAGTGCTAGAGGGGGCAATTAGCGGTGTTAGGGGCTAATTAGTGTTAAATAGCGGGGCGCGATGGGGCCGTGGCTGCTGGACATCAATCGCCACTAAAAAAGTTGTCAATATTTTGCTAATTCATAATTAGAAACTAATCAAGGGCCTTATTGACAATAATTATGAGCTAATTAGCATTAATTAACAGGTGGTTTGTTGTTATTTCATCACCAATAAATCGCTGTTTAATTAATAGAAATTAATATTTATTAACTGAGTAACTCAGTTAGCGCCGTAATTAGCGATAATTAAGAACTAAATGCGTGGGAATTGCTGAGTTAATGGTAATTAATGGTAGGCTGGGTTAACAGTAATTAACGCCGGTCACTCCCCACAACCCCGATTCGGGTCTCAGAATTAATTAGTGGTCAATTAAGGGTTAATTTTGGGTTAATTAGTCGCTAATTAAAGGCGTTAATTGCAGGGGCCCTGGGCCGTACCCCTCCCCCCACGCTGGGCCCCGGCCCTGGAGGGGCCTCAGCACCAGGTGAGACCCAAAATGTCCAAAAATATCCCCAAAAATGTCCAAATCCCTCCAAAATATCCAAAAACTGACCTAAGTCTCCCAAAATTCACCCGGGAAGTCCAAAAAAGTGTCCCAAACAGCCCCAAAATCCCCAAACTGCTCCAAAATCCCACAAAATATCCAAAAGCTGCCCTGAAATCCCCCGAAACTCACCTGGAAACTCTAAAACCTGCCCCAAACTGCCCCAAAATTTCCCAAACTGTCCCAAATTGCCCCAAAATGGCCACAAACTGCCCCGAAATTCACCTGGCAACTCTGAAAACGCCCGAAATATCCAAAAACTGCCCCCAAACCCCCCCAAATCCACCTAGGAACTCCACCAACCACCCCAAAATATCCTAAAGCTGCCCCAAAATATCCAAAGATGCCCCGAAATTTCTCAAAACTCACCTGACAACTCCAAAACCTGCCCCCAAACTGCCCCAAAAATCCCCAAAACTGTCCCAAAATATCCCCAAAATGCCCCGAACTGCCCCAAAAATGCCCCAAATCGCCCCAAATCGCCCCAAATCGCCCCAAATCACAGGCAGGGCCCCCCTGACCCGCACTCGGTGCTCGGGGTCCGTCCTGGGGCCTCCCCCAGGGAGATCCGCGCCGCCTTCCTGGCCCGCTGCAAGGAAGGTACTGGGGAAACTGGGATAGACTGGGGGGGGACTGGGAGGGAAAAACGGCGACTTTGGGGAGGAAAATGGCAATTTTGGGTCAAAAACGGCACCGGGAGGGACAGAAATGGGAGGTTTGGGGATAAAAATGGGACTGGGTCAAACTGGGAGGGACTGGGTCAGACTGGGAGGAACTAGGAGGGGGGGAAATGGCGATTTTGGGGGGAAAATGGCGATTTTGGCGCTGGGAGGGACAGAAATGGGAGGTTAAAAATGGGACTGGGAGAGACTGGGACAAACTGGGAGGGCATTGAGGAGAACTGGGGGAGACTGGGGGAGAAAACCAGCGGGGTTTGGGGTGAAAAAACGGCGATTTTGGGGATAAAACAGAGGGGTTTGGGAACTAACCCCAGGCCTGGGAGGGAACTGGGACAAACTGGGGAGGGACTGGGAGCGCTGGGGACCCCCTCGGGCCCTACCAAGTGTCTCGGGGGGGGGGGGGTGTCCCGTATTTTGGGGACCCCTCCCCACCCATTTTTCCCCCTCCCAAGGACCCCCAAATTTTCCAGGGGGTGTTCCCAGGTGCCCGGGGGTGTCCCCAGGTGTCCCCGAGGGGAGCTCTCGTGTTTTGGGGACCCCTCCCGTGGTCACTGTCACCCCCCCGTGGTCACTGTCACCCCCGTTCCCCCTCACGGGACCCTCTCGGACCCTACCAAGTGTCTTGAAGGGGGGTGTCCCCATATTTTTGAGACCCCTCCCCACCCATTTTCCCCCCCTCCTCTCGCACCCCAAATTTTCCAGAGGGTGTCCCCAGGTGTCCCCAGGGGTGCCCCGGTTTTTGGGGCTCCCTCCCCTGCCCGTGTCCCCCCTCAGGTTCACCCCGACGGGGACCCCTCGGACCCCCTCCCGCCATGGCCGCTTCCTGCGCCTGGCCGAGGCCTACGCGGCCCTGAGCGCCCCCCCGGGACAGCGCCGGGACCCCCGCCCCGGCCCGGGACCGCCCCCCGGCCCCGGACCCCCCCGAGGTAACGGGGATGGGGAGGGAGGGGTCCGGGGGAGGGGGTTTGGGGGGTCCTGGGGTGGTTTTGGGGGTCCTGGGGGCTCATAGGGTTTGGGGGGGGATCTCATAGGGTTTGGAGGTTCCTGGGGTGTCTCGGGGGCCCTGAGGGTTTTGGGGTGGGGTCCCTGAGGGGTCCTGGGGGTTTTGGGGGGGGTCCCCTGAGGGATTCTGGGGGTCCCTGAGAGTTGGGAGGGGGTTCCTGAGGGGTCCCATGGGGGACTGGAGGCGTCCCGGGGTGGCTTGGGGGGGTCTTGGAGGTCCCTGAGGGTTGGGGGGGGTTCCCTGGGGGGGTCCCGGGGGTGCCATGTGTGCCCCCTTTCCCAGCTGGGAGCAGGACCGGCGGCACTGGGAGCAGGAGCGGCGGCGCTGGGAGGAGAACCGGCGCTACTGGGAGCAGTTCCGACCCCCCCCGGGGCGCCCCCCGAGCCCCCCACGGGCGCCTCCTGGGGCTGCTGCTGCTGCTGATGGCGCTGGGGGGGCTGGCGCACGCGCTGGCCTACAGGTGGGGGCTTCAAAATGGGGCTGGGGGCTCCCAGACGGGGCCGGCCCACGGGCTGGCCAATCCCTCATGTTTCGGGGGTGCATTTTGGGGTGAATCCCTCATGTTTTGGGGTGAATCCCTCATGTTTCGAGGTACATTTTGGGGTGGATTTTGGGGTGAATCCCTCATGTTTCAGGGTACATTTTGGGGGTGGATTTTGGGGTGAATCCCTCATGTTTCGAGGTACATTTTGGGGTGGATTTTGGGGTGAGTCCCTCATGTTTCCAGGTACATTTTGGGGTGGATTTTGGGGGTGAATCCCTCATGTTTCCAGGTACATTTTGGGGTGGATTTTGGGGTGAATCCCTCATGTTTCGGGGTACATTTTGGGGGTGAATCCCTCGTGTTTCGGGGTACATTTTGGGGTGGATTTTGGGGGTGGATCCCTCATGTTTCGGGGTACATTTCGCCCTCCCCAGGTACCTGGCCGGGGCTCACGCCGCCTTCCTGGACAAGCAGGACCGGGAGCTGCGCGCGGGCCTACGAGAGAGCCCGGAGCCGGTGGGCACCGGGGGGAGCACCAGGGAGGGTCCTGGGGGGATCCCGGGGGCTTAAGGGGATTTTGGGGGGACTTTTGGGGATTTTGGGGACATTTTGGGGGTCCTTGGGAAGGGGGAGGGGGGTGAGGAGGGCTCGGTCCGGGGGGGGGGGGGGGTGGGGGGTGTCTCTGTCCCCTCCTCCCCCCGGTGACCTTTGACCCCTGTCCCGCAGGGCGGGGTCGCACGAGGAGCTCCTGAAGCGGCTGCGGGAGCGGAGGCGGGGCCGGGCAGGGGGAGGGGGCGGCAGCGAGGGGGGGGGGGGAGGGGAGGGGTCCTGACCCGTCCCCGTGCCCCCTCCCCCTCCTACCCTTGGACCCCTCCCCCCCCCACCTCCTGCCCCTCCCCCCCGCTGCCCCTCCCCCTCCGCGCTCCGCCCGGAGCCCCCAGGTGAGGCTGGGGGGGGGAGGAGCGGGGATACCCCCGGGGGAATCCCCGGTGGGGGAGGGGCGGGGATACCCCCGGGGGGAATCCCCCAGTAGGGGAGGGGCGGGGATCCCCATGTCCTTCCCAAGCCACGCCCACCCTGCGTCAGGCCGCGCCCCCTCCCCGCAGGAGTTTTCGCGCCCTTTTCTTGGTCACGCCCCCCTTTCCCCTCGCTATCTTCCCCGCCCCCTCTTCGGCCACACCCTCTCCGCGCTCCTATTGGCTCCCTTCGGCCCCGCCCTTCCCTCCCGCGCCTCTGATTGGCTCCGCTGTTGCCCCCGTGCCACGTGACCGCCGGTCCCTCACGGAGCCGCCGCCATGTCGCGGGCGGCGCGCTCGGTCCGCGCCGCGGCCGGGGCCAGGTCGGGCCAGGGGGCGGCCCCGAGGCCCGTCCGGATCCTCATCCCGGCCGGCGGTTGCCGCGCCGGGGCCGCCCCTGGGGCCGGTGCTGGGGCAGGTGCGGGGAGGTTTGGGGGGAACCGGGGGGGTTTTAGGGGTGTCCCGGTGCCCCCCCCGGGGCCCGAACCGACCCCGACCCCTCCCCGGTGCTTCCTCAGCGCGGGGTCTCCATCGCCGCCTTCTGCAAAGACTTCAACGAGCGCACCCGGGACATCAAACCCGGGGTCCCTCTGAGGGTCCGGCTGCTCGTGCATGTGAGTGGGGGGGGGGGGGGTACCGGGATCCCCCCGGGGCACCGGGACCCCCCGAGACCCCCCAGTGACCCCCCCCGTGCCCCCCCAGCCTGACCGGACCTACTCGCTGACCATCGGGACCCCCCCCACCTCCTACTTCCTAAAGGCCGTGGCCGGAGTGGAGAAAGGCTCGTCCAGACCTGGTCAGGGAGGGGTTTGGGGGTCCTGGGGGGAGAATTTGGGGATCCTGGGGGGGAATTTGAGGATCCTGAGGGGGAATTTTGGGATCCTGGGGGGGAATTTGGGGATCCTGAGGGGGAATTTGGGCATCCAGGGGGAAATTTTGGGATCCTGGGGGGGAATTTGAGGATCCTGAGGGGGAATTTGGGATCCTGGGGAGGGATCTTGGGGTCCTCAGGGGATTCTGAGGTGCTGGAGGGCGCTTGAAGAGTCCTGAAGGGATTCTGGGGGGGGGATTGAGGTCCTTGAGGGAATTTTGAGAATCCTGGGTGGATTCTGGGGGGGATTCTGATGGAGATTTGAGGGTCCCTGAGGGAATTTTGGGGGTTCTGGGGGCGTTTGAGGTCCCTGAGGAAATTTAGGGGGTTCTGGGGGGGATATTTGGGAGGAATTTGAAGGAATTTTGTGGGGAATTTGAGAGAGTTTAGGGAGTGCTGGGGGAGGATTTTGGGGTCTCTGCAGGAATGGGGGGCTCTGAGAGGGATCGGGGGGTCCCGGGGGTGATTTTGGGGGTCCCGGGGGGGATTTTGGGGGTGATTTTGGGGGTCCCGGCCCCGCTGACCGCCGCCCCCCAGGCCACGAGCCGGCCGGGGTGGTGTCCCTGGCGCAGCTGTTCGAGGTGGCCGTGGCCAAGCAGAGGGACCCGGTGGTGGCCACGCGGGGGCACGGCCCTGCCCGCCCTGGTGGGATCCCTGGTGGGCTCTGCCCGCAGCCTCGGCCTGCTCGTGGTGCCCAGGTGGGAGAGAGCCCCGAAAGCGAGCCAGGAACTGGCCCTGAGACCCCAAAAACTGACCCTGAGACCCCAAAAACTGGCCCTGAGACCCCAAAAACCGACCCCAGAAACCGAGCCAGAAACTGACCCTGAGACCCCAAAAACTGACCCCAGAAGCCGAGCCAAAAACTGACCCTGAGACCCCAAAACCTGGCCCTGAGACCCCAAAAACTGACCCTGAGACCCTGAGACCCCCAAAAAACTGACCCCGAGACCCCCAAACCGAGCCAGGAACTGGCCCTGAGACCCCAGAAACTGACCCCAGAAAACCGAGCCAAAAAACTGACCCTGAGACCCCAAAAACTGACCCTGAGACCCCCCCAAAAACTGACCCTGAGACCCCAAAAACTGACCCTGAGACCCCCCCAAAACTGACCCCAGAAACCGAGCCAAAAACTGACCCTGAGGACCCCCAAACCGAGCCAGGAACTGACCCTGAGACCCCAAAAACTGACCCCTGAGACCCCAAAAACTGACCCTGAGACCCCCAAAACAGCCCCTGATCCCCTCCAAGAAACTGCTCCTGATCCCCCCCAAAACCAGCCCCAAAACACCCCCAAACCCACCCCCCAAAACACCCCAAAAACTGCATCTAAGCCCCCCAAAACTGCCCCAGACTCCCCAAAACCATCCCCCAAACCAGCCCCAAAAAGCAGCAACTCCTGAGCCCCAAAACTCTGCCCCAAACCCCCGAAAAGTGCTCCAGGTTACCCCAAATGACCCCCAAACCACCCCCAAATGGCCCCAAATGGCCCCCCAAATGGCCCCAAACCCCCCCAGATGGCCCCAAATAGCTCAAATGGCCCCAAACCACCCCAGATGGCCCCAAACCCCCCCAAATGGCCCCAAACCACCCCAGATGGCCCCAAACCCCCCCCAAATGGCCCCAAACTCCCCCAAATGGCCCCAAACCACCCCCAAATGGCCCCCAAACCCCCAAAAAGTGCTCCAGGTTACCCAGATGGCCCCAAACTCCCCCAAATGACCCCAAACCACCCCCCAAATGGCCCCAAACTCCCACAAATGGCCCCAAGCCACCCCCAAATGGCCCCAAACCCCCCCCAGATGGCCCCAAACTCCCCCAAATGGCCCCCAAAACCCCACAAATTCCCCAAACTCCCCCAAATGGCCCCAAACCCCCCCAAATGGCCCCAAACTGCTCAAATGACCCCAAACCACCCCCAAATGGCCCCAAACTCCCCCAGGCTGACCCCAAACTCCCCCAAATGGCCCCAACCCCCCCCCCAGGCTGACCCCCAAACTCCCCCAAATGACCCCAAACTCCCCCAAATTCCCCAAACCACCCCCAAATGGCCCCAAACCCCCCAAATGGCCCCAAAACCCCACAAATTCCCCAAATGACCCCAAACTCCCCCAGGCTGACCCCAAACTCCCCCAAATGGCCCCAACCCCCCCACAAATGGCCCCAACCCCCCCCCCCCAGGCTGACCCCAAACCCCCCAAGTGACCCCAGCCCCCCCCTGTCCCCCAAATGACCCCAAACCCCCCAAATGACCCCAAACCCCCCCCGGCTGACCCCAAACCCCCCCTGCCCCCCAGGCTGACCCCCAAACCCCCCCTGCCCCCCAGGCTGACCCCCAAACCCCCCAAGTGACCCCAAACCCCCCCTGCCCCCCAGGCTGACCCCCCAGGCCGTGGCCGAGGTCCAGCGGCGCCGCCGGGAGCTCCAGGCGGCCGCAGCCCCCCCGGGCGGGCAGGAGGAGGACGAGGGGGGGGGCCAGGAGGAAGTGACCCCTCCCCAAAACGGGCCCCAGAGACCGGGGGGGACCCCGGAAACCCGGGGGGACCCCAAAAACCCGGGGGGACCCCAGAAACCCGGGGGGGAACCCCAAAAACCCGGGGGGACCCCCCCACCAAATAAAGAGCTCCTCCCACAGACCCACGTGGGGTTTGTAATTTGGGGAGGGGGTCCCGAAATGTCTGGGGCCTTTTTTGGGGGATTTGGGGGGGGGGGGAATTTGGGGTCTCTTGAGGGGGGGATTTGGGGTCTCTTAAGGGGGGATTTGGGGGGGGATTTGGGGGTCCTCTTTGGGGTCTCTTTGGGAAGGATTTGGGGTCTCTTGAGGGGGGGATTTGGGAGGGATTTGGGGCTCGGTTCTTGAGGGGGTTTCCTCGTTTTTGGGGAGGGGGCGGGTGGGAGTCCCTTGGGCCTTCATCCTCATCCTCCTCTTCATCTTCCTCCCCCTCCTTCTTCCTCACCCCCCCCTTTCATGGCTCCTTCTTCATCCTCATCTTCCTCCCCTCCTCCTTCATCCCCCTTTATCCTCCCTCATCTTCCTCCTCCTCTTCCTTATGCTCAGCACCTTTCCAGCTCCTTCCTCATCCTCACCATCCTCATCCTCCCTCATCCTCACCCTCCTCCTCTCCCCCCCCCCTTTTATGGTTCCTTGCCCCTTCCCATCTTCATCTTCATCCCAGTTCCTGCCTCATCTTCCTCCTCATCCTCCTCCTTCATCCCCCTTTATCTTTTCTCATCTTCCTCATCCTCACCTTCCTCATCTTCATCCCCTTTTCCACCATCCTCATCCTCTCCCCATCCTCATCCCCATCCCCATCCTCATCCTCCTCTTCATCCTCTCCCCATCCTCATCCCCATCCCCATCCTCATCCTCCTCTTCATCCTCTCCCCCATCCTCATCCTCATCCCCATCCCTCTCCCCTCCTCCTTCATCCCCCCCTCCCTCCTCATCCTCCCCCCCAAACGCCGCCGTTGCCATGGAAACGCCGGCGGGGCGGGGGCGGGGGGGAACCCCGGGAATTGGGGGAGGCCCCCGGGAATTTTGGGGGGGTCCCGAGAATTTAGGGGGGGGGGGGGCCCGAAAATCTGGGAAGGTCCCGAAAATTTGGGGAGGGGGGACCCGAAAATTTTTGGGGGGGGGGGTTCCAGGATTTTGGGGGGGGTCCCGATGCCTCGGGGGGGGGTCGGGGGGGCACCCCGAGCTCTGGGGGGGGGGGGCCCCGGGGGTCTCCCCCTCCCCAAATCCCCCCCAGAATCGGCCCCGGGGGGGGTCCCGGCCCCGCCCGGCGCGGCCCCGCCCCCCGCGCTATTTTGGGCTCCCCCGCGCTATTTTTGGCTCCGCGGCTTCGGCGCCCAAATTTGGCAGCGGCGGAGCCGGGGGGGGAGGGGCGGGGGGCGGAGCCAGAGCCGGGGGGCGCCCGCGCGGGGGGGAGGGGGAGAGCGAGGGGGGAGGGGGAGAGGGGGATCCCAAAGGCCCGGGGGGGAGGGGAGGGGAGGCTCCGCCCCCTCTGCTCGGCCGGGGTCCCTCCGGCTGCGCTGACCCTGCCTGTGGTCAGTCTGGGCTCCTGTGGTCATTCTGGGCTCTCCGTGGTCAGTCTGGGCTCTCTGTGGTCACTCTGGGCTCCCTGTGGTCACTCTGGGCTCTCTGTGGTCACTCTGAGCCTCCTGTGGTCACTCTGGGCTCTCTGTGGTCAGTCTGGGCTCTCTGTGGTCACTCTGAGCCCCCCGTGGTCACTCTGAGCCCCCTGTGGTCACTCTGGGCTCTCTGTGGTCACTCCCATACCCCTCTGGCCACGCTGACCCCCAATGGTCTCCCCCCAGCCCCTCACTGACCCCTCACTGACCCCTCCAATCTTGGACCCTCTCCCTTGACCCCCCTTGGCTCCTCCATCCCCGCCTTGACCCTCTCCCCCATCCCCTGGCTCCTCCCTCTCCCCACTGACCCCTCCAGATCCTCCCTCTCCCCACTGACCCTGCATTGCCTCCTCCCTCTCCCCACAGCTCCCCATTGCCGTTTCCATCTCCCCATTGATCCCTTCAGCTTCTCCCTCTCCCCATTGACCCCTTACTGTCTCCTCCCTCTCCCCATTGATCCCTCATTGCCGTTTCCATCTCCCCATTGATTCCCCATTGATTCCCCATTGCCGTTTCCCTCTCCCCACAGCCCCCACTGTCTCCTCCATCTCCCCATTGATTCCTCATTGTCTCTTCCATCTCTCCATTGACCCCCATTGCCGTTTCCATCTCCCCATTGATTCCCCATTGATTCCTCCATCTCCCCATTGACCCCTTACTGTCTCCTCTCTCTCCCCATTGATTCCCCATTGATTCCCCATTTTCTCCTCCCTCTCCCCATTGATTCCCCATTGATTCCCCACTGATTCCCCATTGATTCCCCATTTTCTCCTCCCTCTCCCCATTGATTCCCCATTGATTCCCCATTGATTCCCCATTGCTGTTTCCCTCTCCCCATTGATTCCCCATTGATTCCCCATTGATTCCCCATTTTCTCCTCCATCTCCCCATTGACCCCTTACTGTCTCCTCCCTCTCCCCATTGATTCCCCATTGATTCCTCCCTCTCCCCATTGATTCCCCATTGATTCCCCATTGATTCCCCATTTTCTCCTCCCTCTCCCCATTGACCCCCATTGATTCCCCATTTTCTCCTCCCTCTCCCCATTGATTCCCCATTGATTCCCCATTGATTCCCCATTGATTCCCCATTGATTCCCCATTGATTCCCCATTTTCTCCTCCATCCCCCCCCTCCCCCCCCCGCTGGGGCGTGTCCCCCTCCCCTCCCCCGCCCCCTTCGCCCCGCCCCCTCTCCCGTCTCCATCTCCAATTTCGGTGCGATCCCCGCGTCCCCCCCGTCCCCCCTCGTGCGTCAGCGTCACCGGTGACGCTCCCGCCGCGTCCCCCCGGTGTCCCCCCCGCGCGGGGGGCGGCGCGGGGCCGGTGACGCGGCGCTGACGCGGGGCCCGGGCGCGCATAAAGCGGCGGCCCCGGGCGGCGGCGCGGGCGGAGGATGCTCCGCTCCACCAAAGGCGCCTCCAAGGCGCGGCGGGACCAGATCAACGCCCAGATCCGCGCCCTGCGCGACCTCCTCCCGCTGCCCGACGGCGACCGGCCGCGCCTCTCCTACCTGCACGTCATGGCCCTCGCCTGCATCTACACCCGCAAGGGCGCCTGCCTGCGGCCAGGTACCGGCACAGGGACCGGGGACGGAGCGGGGATCGGGGACGGGAGCGGGACGGGAGCAGGGACGGAGCCGGGACCGGGGACGGGACCGCGAGAGGGACCCGGGGATGGAGCCGGGACCGCGAGAGGGACCCGGGGATGGAGCCGGGAACGGGGACGGGACCGCGAGAGGGACCCGGGGATGGAGCCAGGAACGGGGACGGGACCGGGAGAGGGACCCGGGGATGGAGCCGGGAACGGGGATGGAGCGGGGAAAGGACCGGGAGAGGGAGCGGGACCGGGGATGGAGCCGGGAACGGGGATGGAGCCGGGAAAGGGGATGGAGGGGGACCGGGGACAGGACTGGGACCGGGGACGGAGCAGGGATGGGAGCGGGGACCGGGGATTGAGTGGGGATCGACCCGGGGACAGCACCGGGGTGGCAGCGGGGATGGAGCAGGAGCGGGGATGGAGCAGGAGCGGGGAGAGGACCGGGAGAGCGAGCGGGGATGGAGCCGGGAGCGGGGATGGAGCAGGAGCGGCACCGGGAAAGGGATCGGGGACTGGGGATTGAGTGGGGAACGGCACCGGGATGAGACCCGCAGGGACCGGAGCCGGGAGCGGGGATCGAGCCGGGAATGGCACCGGGAAGGGATCGGGGACCGGGCTGGGAGCGGGACAGGGACGGGGACCGGGGCCGTTCAGCACCGCGGGCAGGGACCGGGGCCGGGGCAGCACCGCGGAGAGCGGCCGGAGGTTCCCGTTCAGCACCGCGGAGAGCGGCGGGCACCGGGAGGGGCAGCGGGACGGGGACCGGGATCGGGGACCGGGATCGGGGACCGGGATCGGGAACAGGGATCGGGAACAGGGATCGGGATCGGGAACGGGGACTGGGACCGGGATCGGGGACAGGGATTGGTGACTGGGATCGGGGACAAGGACCGGGATCAGGGACCGGGATCCGGAATCGGGAATCAGGAACGGGGACTGGGATCAGGACCGGCTACCGGGATTGTTGACAGGGACAGGGACCGGGATCGGGAATCGGGGATCGGGGACAGGGATAGGGATCGGGATAGGGATCGGTGACATGGACAGGGATTGGTGACCGGGACCGGGACAGAGGAGCCGGGACGGGGACGGGACGGGGAGCGGAGCCCCCGGCGGCCCCGTGGGTGCCACCCCGGGGCCGGGCGGGCTCTGAGCGCTGTCCCCCCGTGTCCCCACGCCAGGCCCGAGCCGGGGGGCGCCCCTGGAGCTGCTGGGGGGGCCCGAGCTCGCCGACCTGGTGGCGTCGCTGCCCGGGTTCCTGCTGGCCGTGACCCGCGAGGGGAAGCTGGTCGGGGTCACCGACAACGTGGCGCAGCACCTGGGCCACTCCATGGTGAGCACCGGGGGGCTCGGGGGGGCCCGGGGCGCGCGGGGGGTCCCGGGGGCTCACCCCGGCCTCCCCCCCGCCTGCCCCCCCAGGTGGACCTGGTGGCACAAGGGGACAGCATCTACGACCTGCTGGACCCCGCCGATCACCCCCTGGTGCGGCACCAGCTCAGCCTGCCCGGGCCCCCCCAGGCAGGTGGGTGGGGGTCCCCAGGGCGTGGGGGGGGGTCCCGAGGGCATGGGCGGGCTGGGGGGGCGTCCTGGGGGGGTCTGGGGGGGATCGGGGGGGTCCTGGGGGGAAGGGAAGGGAGAGGGAGGGAAGGCATGAATGGGGAGAGAGAGGGATGGACAGCGGGACACAGGGATGGACAGTGGGACACAGGGATGGACAGCGGGACAGAGGGATGGACAGCGGGACACAGGGATGGACAGTGGGACAGAGGGATGGACAGAGGGATGGACAGCGGGACAGAGGGATGGACAGAAAGATGGAGGTGGACGGGGGATGGACAGCAGGACGGAGGAATTGACAGCGGGACAGAGGGGTGGACAGCAGCACAGAGGGGTGGACAGCGGGATGGACAGCAGCACCAAGGGATGGACAGTGGCAGAGAGAGGTGG